AAAAAAAAAAAAAAAAGACCGGTGTCGCTCCAGACACCAGCTGCACATCCGGGTTGCCGTCTGTACTTCTCACCAACGGGTTGTGAATTTGGGGGTTTCCACACTGCCCTCCTCAGGTTTGAAAATTCCCTAGAACAACTCACACAACTCAGAACAACACTTACTAGCACCGGTTTACTTTGGAGGATACAACTTAGAAATGGCTGAAGGAGAGATACACAGGAGAAGGTAAGGGAGAGGTGTATGGTTCACCACCTTCCCCACACCTAGATGTGTTCACCAACCTGAACCCCATCATTTAGGAGTCTTTATGATTGATTGATTAAATCACTGACCACTGGATATGAACTGAATTTCCAGGCCCTCTCCCCTCCCTGGAGGTCTGGGGGTAGAGCCACAAGTTCCAACCTTCTAACTACAAGGTTGGTTCCTCCGTCAAGTGCCTTCCAGAAGCTATCTAGAGACCCCCAGCTACCAGTCATCTCATTAGCATACAAAAGACACTCATCTCTGCAGAGATTCCAAGGATTTGGGGAGCTGTGTGCCAAGAACCCAAAGACCAAATCATTATTATGCCACAAAAGGGTAAGTTTACGCTGCTTTTTAGAGTGAAATAATTTCTGTAGATATTCATGGACTACAACTACAGTGGTAATGACTGTGACGTCCAGTCGGTTCTAACAGCCTTTGTCATACAATAAACGTTAACTCCTTTCTCCCTCTTCCCATCCCTTTTATCCTCACTTGCTTCTTTACCACCTGACATGTCTGAATCTGTACTTTTAATCAGAGTTAAATCAGAGTTAATCAGTTGGTCTTTGGTCCTTGCTCCAGCCAGAATCAAATCTAACCATTTCCTACATAGTACCTGCCCCTGACCAGAAAAAATACAAAGGAAACTTCTGAAAAGTCAAAGCCTCACATTCAAAAGTCAGTCATTTGTTGAGACAACTGGCGCACTGACCTTGATCAACACCTCAGCCCCTGCCCAGTCTGGACCCATTATTGGACACCTTGAATTCCATGACCTGCTCACTCTTTCATAATTTAAATGACTTTCTGACTTGCACGACACTAGTCCTCTGAAAAATACTCAAACGTCAACATTTATATGCCTGCCTCTCTAATCCAGTTCCTACCTAGTGCTTCAAGTTCTGCTATTTCTTTGTCTCCTTCTGACCACCAGCACAAGTTGTCCATCTTTGCAGTATTTAACTTAAAACAACTCGACAAAGAATAATTTAAACCAATTATTGTTCCAGTATGGGATTATGTTTCTTTTTTTTCCCTTGACTACTTTTTTTTTTTTTTTTGGGAAATTGGGCAAATTTTTTATTTTTTTTATTTTTTAAAAAGATTATATTTTTATTTATTTGAGAGAGAGAGTATAAGCAGGGGGAGAGGTAGAGGGAGAGGGAGAAGCAGACTCCCTGCTGAGCAGAGAGCCCACTGCAGGGCTTGATCCCAGGACGAGCTTCCCAGGATGCCCCTACATGTTTCTTTTAAAATTGTTTTTGTGGGGTGCCTGGGTGGCTTAGTCAAGCGTCTGCCTTTGGCTCAAGTCATGATACCAGGGTCCTGGGATAGAGCCCCGCGTCAGGCTCCCTTCTCAGCGGGGAGTCTGCTTCTCCCTCTCCCTCTGCCTTCTGTTCCCCAAGCTCTCTCTCTGTCAAATAAATAAATAAAATCTTTGAAAAAGTAAAAAATAAAACTGTTTTTTTAATATGTATTTCCATATAGTAACACAAAGAACCAGATCTCATATGATAAACAGGTTGTTAGTAAATTAATCTACCTCTATGAAGTCTATGACTGAAGTCCACTGTAATTCAAGAAAGCAAAGGGTGCAAATTTACTAGTTGAATAACAAAGTACCACTGGCAGACATAGTTCTAAAATTTTATAATAAGAAACATGATATATGTGTAGCATTTCTTTGTTATGGAAGCATGCTTTTCCTCACATAGGCAGAGAAAGAAATTCTAACAGCATAACTGAATGCTGAGTTTAAAAGTTGAGTTTTAAAAAAAACAACAGTTTTTTGAAAGATGGCTGCCTGCTACTCCTACCAACAAACATTACTCAGAAAAGTCTGTCAGCAAAGTTACTGGAACTACGACATTGAATAATATAACAGAATGAGGAGTGGAAGAGGGTTCAAGAGGGCAGAATAATAAGATCCTGAGCTCACCTCTTCCCACAAACACAACAAACTGAACGGACCTAGAAACTGGATGAACAGAGCCCCCACAACAAGGGACAGCATCAAGATGAGTGGAAGAGGCAAGGATACAGTCTTGCTAAGGAAAAAAACCAAACCCCTGGAGCAACATTCCATGGTCAGAACAGACCTCAAAGGAATGTTATCTCCCTGAGGAGAGTTTCAAACTCCACATCCAACAACCCAACCCTTAGATAATTCATGAAGAGATGAGCTTCCCAAACATCTGGCCTTAAAAACCAGTAGGGAGTATGTCCAGGAAAACTACAAAACTGTAAAGAAAGGAAACCCCATTCATAAAGGGCTTGCACACAAACTCAACTCAGAAACCAGTACAAATGGTTCCAAATCAGATCAAAAACCATATCAAAAAGATCAAAAGCCAAATAAAAAAGCACAAAGACCACAGGTAAAGTAGGCCTACTTACTAATCTTGGAGCACTTGCTGAAGAGGATTGGGTGGGGGGGCGTGCCTCTAATCTCCCTGAGAAGTAAGACACTGGTGACAGCCATTTTTGCTATCTTGTTCTGCCCTGCTGATGCTGGAGCTGACAGACACCATTTTGAAATCCTCTCTCTAGAATGTAAATGCCAGGGTGCACAAGCCACTGAGAGCCCCATACAGCCCTGCCCCTCAGCAGAGCCTTGCAGTCTATAGGACTCCACCTACAGCACACCTGTAGCCATCAGGAATAGGCTGCCAGCTAACCAGGCAGGGGAGGGAAGCCAGCCTCACCCAAGAGGGCACCTGCAGCTGTCCAAGGGGCTGCCACAAGAGGAGGACGCACAAAGCCCACTCAGGGAACACTCCTGAAGCACCTGTGTCTGGGTACCAGGGTAAGAGAATTGCACTACTGTGCCCTGTAGGACATCTCTTACATAAGGCCACTCCTTCAACACCAGATGTAGATGAACTACCTAATACACAGAAACAAACACAGTTAGGCATAATGAGGAGACAGAAGAATATGTTACAAACAAAATAACACAAAACATCAGAAAAAGAACAAAATGGAAATAAACAATTTATCCAATAAAAAGTCCAAAGTAGTTGCCATAAAACTGCTCATCAAACTCGAGACAAAAATGGATAAACACAGTGAGAACTTCAACAAAAAGAAAATATATAAAAGTTCCAATCAGAGCTGAAGAATAACAGAAATAAAAATACACTATAGGGAATAAACAGCAGATTAGTAACACAGAAGAAAAGAGCAGTGATCTGTAAAACAAGGAAGTAAAAATCACCCAAACTGAACAACAAAAAGAAAAAGGAATTTTAAAAATGAGGATAGTTTAAGGGACCTGTGAGCTAACAGGTGCACTAACATTCCCTTTATAGGAGTCCCCAAAGGAGGAGAGAGAGAGAAAGTGGCAGAAAATTTATTTGAGAAATAATAGATGAAAACTTCCCTCATTTGGCAAAGGAAGCAGACATCCAGATCTAGGAAAAAGAGAATCCCCAAAACAATGAACCCAAAGGGATCCACACCAAGATACATCATAACTAAAATGTCAAAAATTAAAAAACAAAGACAGACTCTTAAAAGCAGCAGAAAAAAAATTAGTTACATATAAGGGAATCCCCATAAGGCTATCAGCTGATTTCTCAGCATAAAGTTTGCAGGCCAGAAGAGAATGAGTGACACAATACATTCAGACTGCTTACAATCAAGAATAATCAGCAAGGTTATCATTCACAACTGAAGGGGAAGATAAAGAGCTTCCCAGAGAAGCAAAAGTTAAAGGAGTTCATCACCCCTGACCTAGTTTTATAGTATTAAACAGACTTCTATTAGCAAAAAGGAAAAGGCCATAATAAGAAGTAAAATATATGAAAGAAAAAAATCTCACTAGTAAAGGCAAATATATAGTAAAGGTAGTGGATCAACCACTTACAAAGCTAGTCTGAAGGTTAAAAGATAAAAGTAGTAAAATCAACTATATCTATAATAGTTAAGGAATACATAAAATAGAAAGATGTAAAATATGATGGCATAAACATAAAATGCTGCAGGGAAGAGAGAAATGTTTTGGAATGTTTGGAATTTAAGCAACCACCAACTTGAAATAGACTGTTACATACATAGGTTATTATAGACAAATCTCATGGTTACCACAAACCAAAAACCTGTAATAGATACACAAAAAGTAAAGAGGAAGTAATCCAAGCCTAACACTGAAATAATCAAATCCCAAGAGAAGAACAAAGAATTACAAAAACAATTAGAAAACAAATATCAAAACGGCAAGAAGTACACATGTATCAATAATTACTTTAAATGAAAGTGGACTAAACAATCCAAGCAAAACACATAGCATGAATGAATGGATAAAAAACAAGACCCATCTATAAGCTGACTACAAGAGATTCACTTCAGACCAAAAGACAAATACAGACTGAAAGTACAGGGCTATAAAAAAATATTCCATGCAAATGAAAACAAAAAGAAAGCAGGGGTACCAATACATGTAGGACACAAAACAGACTTTAAAACAAAGGCTGTAATAAGAGGCAAAGAAGGATATTAAATAATCATAAAGAGAATCATTATAATAGTAACAATAGCAGGGGACTTTAAAACCATATTTACATCAGTGGATAGATCATCCAGACAGAAAATAATGTAATAAGAGCAAACACCACATCAAACCACATGGACTTCATACATACAGAATATTCCATCCCCAAACAGCAGATTACACATTCTTCTCAAATGTACCTTTAACATTTTCCTGGATAGATCATGTTAGGCCACAAAAGAAATCTCAATAAATTTAACAAGACTGAAATCATATCAAGCTTTTCTTCCTATCACAACAGTATGAAACTAGAAATCAATTATAAGTAGAAATCCATCACAGGAAGAAAACTGTCCACTTATGATAAATGAATGGATTAAGAAAATGCAGTGTACACACACACACACACACACACACACACACACAGAGAGAGAGAGAGAGAGAGAGAGAGAGAGAGAGAGAGGAATATTACTCAGTCATAAAAAAGAATGAAATGCCATTCATGACAACATAGATGGTCCCAGAAGGTATTATGCTAAGTGAAATAAGTCAGACAAAGACAAATACGGTATGATTTAACTTGTATATGGAATCTAAAAAACAAATGAACAAACAAAACAAAACAGAAACAGAGATTTGATGGGTGCCATAGAGAAGGGGATAAGGGTAATGAATAAAGTGAGAAAGATTAACTTTCCAGTTATAAATGAGTTATGGGGATTAAGTTATGGGGATTAAATAAATTATAAACAAGATAAAATAAATTATCAATAAAACATGGAATGTAAGGTACAACACGAAGAATATAGTTAATAATATTGTAACAACTTTGTATAACCACAGATGGTAATGCCTTATTGTGGTGACCATTTTCTAATGCATATGAATATTGAATCACTGTGTTGTACACCTGAAATACAGTATTATGTATCAATTATAATTAAGTAAAAAAAAAAATTAAGCCAGTCACAAAGAAAGAGAGGATGAAGAGTATACCACTAAAAATAGAACCAAAGGAGGAAGTCAAAATGTTTATTTCCTATTACAGACCCAAAGATAAACATACACACACACACACACACACATATATATATATATATATATATATATATGCTTTATCTTTATATTCATAAAGTCTTCTAAGGAGAATAAAATCTTTGCTCTTGGCCATTTGGAAAGTACTGCTATCTAGAGTTAGTTATCCAATAATCTGTTTCTTCAGAAGAATTAACTTCAACTATAAACCCAGACTGTTGCAACATGAAAACTGTTCCAGGAATCAGGGATGTAGTCCAGTTCTGCATGGATAAATTCAGTTTTCGGCATGTCTACATCAGCTGTCAACTGTGGAGTAATGGAGCTGTCCACAGAACTCCTTAAATAGCTGAAAATATGAAGCAAAACGATTCTGGACTGCCCACAGATTTAATTTATTTAGAGTCAGTAGCAACCCAAGATGATTAAAAACTTTTTAAATTTGGTTTGAGTAAATCCAAATGTTCTTTTTTTTTTTTTTTTTTTTAAAGATTTGAGAGCACTTGAGAGCATGAACCAGGGAAGGGGCAGAGAAAGAGGATCTCAAGCAGACTCCACACTGAGTATGGAGCCTGACATGGGGACCGATCCCATGACCCTGAGATCATGACCTGAGCTGAAATCAAGAGTCGGTTGCTCAACAGGCTGAGCTACCCAGGCACCCCAGATCCAAGTATTAATTCTTGACCACAAGTAGCCATGTGATTGCTGGCTTTCTGGTAAAAAAATGTCTTAATAAAAACTTTTCTTTTTAATTTATATTAAAATCATAATCTTTTTGTTTCACAAAAATCAGACTGTTTAAACAGTTCTGGATAAGTCACATAATTCATCCTTTATCAAGATGCAAATCCCCAAAAGGTGCAAAAATTTTCAAATCAATAAATTAATAAAATTCAAAAGGAAAACTGAAACTAACAATTACAGCATGACTGCTTGCTTATGTAGGTGGGCCCTTTAATCTAAGCATTTACTCTTCTACCCAAAAGCAATTTTTCAAAAAAGCATGGAAATATGCATTGAACAATTATTTTCCAGTCAAATTTATACCCCCCAAAAATATTTTTAAAATGCAACTAGATATATTTTTTACATTGTTTTTATTTTTCTTGAACCACCAAAAAGAATGCATATTTCCTCCAAACACTTGATGACATACTTCAGTTCAGGTAGCCCACTGAAGATTTCTTTGCGGCTTAGTTCAGAAATTCCATTTCCAAGGAATACTTTTGTTCCATCAAATTCTTTGGCTCCTTTCTTACATTTGCCTTTTATATCAGAGTATACAGAAATAACATCTCCAGCTTTCATAACTAGAAAGAAGAAAATCAGATTATACTTATTAGACTATATTTTGGTATAAGAATAGTGAAAATTCTTTAAGCTAGACTAGGGACATCTAAGGGCATCAATTGTGGGCATGAAGAGGTCTAAACTGGCTCACTATCTCAAAATAATCCCTTATAGAAAATATGACTTTTTACTTTTAAATGTTCCATCACAATATATCTAACTGAAGACTTTTTTCCTAGGAGAACAAAAAAATACAAATCTTCAAAACATCCTATCTAAACTGGAACTCTTTAGCTAAGCAGAAAATGAAGGGTATCTCCTATTTATTTTTTCCAAACCTAACATTCCCTAAACAACTTCATATAAATTTTGGTATCTTTGGCTCAATCCTCAAAGTTCTAAGTTCCCCTTAAAAAGATTCATCAAAAATGTACACTAAAATCCCTCAAAGAAATGTTTCTAAATCGCCTAACCCTATTGTTATTTCTTTGCAGGTTTCCTATTATAGCAATTAAGACAGAGATTTTAGTAAGTACATTCATTCATATATGTGTGTGCATGTGTGTATATACATGAACATGTGTATACGTACATACATGTACCTACGTATATATGTGTATATATACACAGTGTATGGAGTTGATTCTTACAGCTAATTAAGTCTAGGTTTTTGTAGCCATTTCATTAAATTATTTTCAGTAACCAATCCCAGGGACTTTAATAATGGGGAACTCTATCCCACTTTCATGTTCTTAGACCTAGCCTGTCATAAATTTGTCTAGCCCATTAACTTGGTAACAGTAGTGAGCAGTCTATCAACTAGAGCTAGAAGGACTGTTCAAATCGCATAGATCAGAGGTCAAAGAACTTTTCCTATAAAGGGCATGTGAATTCCTTAGGCTTTATGAGCCACATAAGGTCTGTTGGCATATTCTTCTTTGTATTTTTCTTAAATAAGCTTTTAAAAATGGAAAAACCATTTTCAGCTGTGAGCCACACAAAAACAGACATAGGCCAGATTTGGCCAGCGGGCAGTTTAGCACACCCGAATGCACATCAAATTATTTCACAGATAACATAACTAAAGCCCACAGACTGAATAACTTCCCAATAGAGCAAAACACATGTCTTGATTTCAAGCCCAATAAATTAAGACTGAACCACAGTGACTAACTTATTAAGCATATGTCATCAACTGAGTGAGTAAATTAAGAATACTGGCTTTTATTTCAATATTAAGATCCCAAGTTCAGAAGGTTACCCTCACAAATGACAACAGAAGTCTGAGGGCAATGGAGTTAAGAATACAAAATAAAATTTCACTGACATCTTACACTCTATTAATCAGGAATGATCCTCTAAACATCATCTCACACTCTTTTATGGAAAGAAAAAAACTGGCAAAGAAACCACATATGGATGCCCAATTTGTGAGACCATATCAGATAAATCTCTTTCTGGCTATGCCAAATGTAAAACTTGAAAAATATCTGGGGGCGCCTGGGTGGCTCAGTTGTTAAGCGTCTGCCTTCGGCTCAGGTCATGGTCCCAGGGTCCTGGGATAGAGCCCCACATCGGGCTCCCTCCTCGGTGGGAAGCCTGCTTCTCCCTCTCTCACTCCCCCTGCTTGTGTTCCCTCTCTCGCTGTGTCTCTCTCTGTCAAATAAATAAATAAAATCTTTAAAAAAAAAAAAGAAAAATATCTGATAAAAGTAAATTTGAAATACATCTGAATGATAGTTTAATACATTTTCCACTTGATAATGTATACAGATTTTAAAGAATCTTTTCTCGTACAGAGAGGCTGAAACATTATACTTACGTTTTGAAGCTGACACAATTCCTGGAACATAGACATGGGCTCCTCTTAACACCGCATTGCCACATTGTGCTCCAACAACTGCTTCACAATGTTGTTTTTTTATATTCTTCCTAGGGATGTAAGATGAGCAATTTTAACAGAGTAATACACCTCCAACCCCTACCAAACTTTTTAATGTTCCAATCTAAACCCTAAATAACCTCTTTTCTCCTGACTGTCCCAAGATAATGCCAACGAATGAATAAATAAGAAAAAGCAAGCAGAAAAAAAGAAGGATAAATATAGAGGAAGTAGTTTAGAGAGGGAGATGGGGCACACTTGAGGGGAAAAAAAAAAATAGAAAGAGGTCTATCTGGTAGAAGGCAATAAAGTAGCACCAAAAACTGCTTAATCATTTAAAGAGCACTGCTGTTTCCATAATAGCATTAGAAGGAAGAAAAATAAAGTCCTTACCTTCAAAGACTAAAACAGACAATATACAAGGAATTCAAAAGCATCTCTAAAATGGTGTACTGCTGTGTGGTCAACTATTCATATTTTATTTATTTTTTTATTATTATGTTCAATTAGCCAGCATATAGTACACCATTAGTTTTTGATGTAGTGTTCAATGATTCATTACTTGCGTATAACACCCAGTGCTCATCACCACATGTGCCCTCCTTAATACCCATCACCCGGTTACCCAATGCCCCCCCCGACACACACACCCTTCTATAACCCTCAGTTTGGTTCCTGGAGAGTCCAGAGTCTCTCAACTATTCATATTTTAACCAGAAGAAGATGTCTTTTACTTTTCCTTTACTGTCCAACTTTTTTGGGTGTTTTCCAATTTCTCACCTTCCATTCATTCCTTAGACCACTAACAACTGAGTATCACTTCTAATACACAGAAAGACTTTTTCAAAAGTCAGGGGGTGCCTATGTGATCAGCCCTAAATAAAGACCTTAAGCACTGAGTCCCTCATGCATGTTCGTGGTTGGCAACATCTCACATGTGTCGTTACAACTCCTTGCTGGGGGAACGGAGCGTGTCATATCTTCCTTCCGTGATCTCCAGATAGTCCTATCTCACTGAGCTTCTCAGTTTTGTACCACTTGTTTGTCTCTCACGTTCTCACTGCTCATTCCCTATCTACTTCTTAAAGAGTTCCATTCCCCCATGTTCCAAAACATGCTGCATCTCTTCTCACCTTGCATTCTACTCTTGGCGACCTCAGGCTTTCAATAATCACTTAGAAAACGATCTGTATATTCTCATGTTTGACCACTTGGGTAGCATGAATCTGAATTCCAAACCTTTATGAGGTATGGAACTACAGTTCCACAATCACAGATTTGTTTTCTTCAATCCAGACTTTAAGACAAGACAGATCCAAGGGTGCCTGGGTGGCTCAGTCAGTTAAGCGGCTGCCTTCAGCTCGGGTCATGATCTCGGGGATCGAGCCCCGCATCAGGCTCCCTGCTCAGCAGGGAATCTGCTTCTTCCTCTCCCTCTCCCCCCCCGCAACTTGTGCATTCTCTAATAAATAAAATAAATAAATAATAAAATTTGAAAAAAGATAAGAGAACTCCAACTCCTTAATTATTGTCTTGCACTGACTGCTGGATATTTCTCACCTCCTAGTGTTCATACCCTGTTATTTCCTACATTAAAAGGAAAGCCCCTAGGGGGTGCCTGGATGGCTCAGTCATTAAGCGTCTGTCTGCCTTAGGCTCAGGTCATGATCCCAGAGTCCTGGGATTGAGCCCTGCATCAGGCTCCCTGCTCAGCGGGAAGACTGCTTCTCCCTCTCCCACTCCCCCTCCTTGTGTTCCCTCTCTTGCTGTCTGTCAAAAAATAAATAAAATCTTAAAAAAATAAATAAATAAAAGGAAAACCCCTAAATTTAGAACACTGACCACCTCCTCTCCCACATCTCCTAATCCCCAAATATTAGCTCTGTTTTCAGTTACTCTTCATTCCAACCCCTAAATATCTCACTTATATTCTCAATCACTCAGTTGTGCATTTTATGGCCTTATTTTTTATTTAGTATTCCTAGGTGTCTGTAGCAGAAACATTTTCAGGTTATCTAGATTACCACATTGTTGGAAATAAAACACTCTGAAATGATTTCCTAATTTATTTCCAGTCTTAGAATTTATCTTTTCAAATTTTTTGGACTGTAACCCACAGAAATGCACTTAATATCACAACTCAGGACACGTGTGTATGTATGTATGATACACACATGCATTTATACACACTTATATTTACATCAAATGTTTCATGAAACACCTTCAGTATGTACAGTGCAATATGATACATTATGAAATACCCATTTCTTTTTTAAAAAATGCTAAAAAAAGACATTAAATTGATTTTACAACCTACTAGTGGATCATGATCTCCATGCAGTTGGAAAAATAGCTTTATGCTACTACCAGTATTCTTTGGCTCCTATTCTTTGGTTCTAAGCAAAAAACTAAACATTCCTTACTTAAAAAAAAAAAAAAAATCTTTTACACTTCACAGCTTGCCTCTCCCAACTTCTTCAATCTCATGTTTCACCACCCTCTCTGAAAAAGCAACTAAGTAGCCAAACCTGATCACTTTGTCACGAGCCACCTTACATTTTCATGCCTCCATACTTTTGCTTTCTCTCCACCTCACATACCCTTGACCATCTTAACCCATCAGCCTAATGCCTAATCACCTTCAAGGCTCAACTGAAATATTATCTACTTGAAGAAAATCTTTACCAACTTCCTTTCACTCAGTCCTTTCTATTCTGTGCTGATGGTACTTCATTAATACCTTCACTGTAGCACTTTTAACAGTCTGACTCATATGAAGGTTTCCCGTTTTTAAATGAATCAACTGCATTTCATTCATCTTTGTAACACCCTTGGGTCTTACACATAGCGCCAATTAAAAAATGTCTTGGAAAATGGAACCTTGTAGTTTTAATCAGAATGTTTTTATGGGAATAACCATTTCATGGAGAGGACAGAAAGACTATGGAAAAAAAGAGTTAACATAAGAGTCGTGAATTACTATCCTTTCTTTGGACAGCATGGTTACAAGGTTGGTTCTTGGCTGCCATCTGGGAACTTAGATTTCAGAAGGACACCTGCTATTAACTAAATCATCTGTACAAATAGTATGGTTTATGGCCAACAATGACTTTCCTTCTGAGAGGCCAGAATGTGGGCATGTGCCAGGCAGGGAATGCCTACATGACCGTCCCAAATAAAAATCCTGGACACTGAGTCGCTAATGAATTTCCCTGGTTGGCAACATCTTACAAGTTGTCAAACCTGTCAAACCTGAGGGAATTAAGTGTTTCCTATGTGACTGCATTGGAAGAGAATTCTGTAAGCTTTCAACTGGTTTTCCCTGTACTTTTTCCCATGTGCCCCCTCCCTTTGCTGATTCTGCTTCAGATCACTTCACTGGAACGAGTCATAGTCACAAGTACTACTATATGCTGAATCCTATGAGTCATCCTAGAGTCATCAAGCCAGGGAGTGGTCTTGGGGATCCCTCAACACTAGGACTAATTGTATAAAAACATAAGATGCCATATATGCAAGTATCAAGGTGTAATTCAGCTTTGCTGAAGGGGAGAGTTTGAGGCAGCAAAGATAAAAGGAAATGTAAGAGTTGATGCAGAGCCATAATACATGCTAAAAGCTTAATTTTTTATTACAATATTTACAAATAAAGAAGTGAACCAACAACATTAAAGAAAGGATTTTCTGATACTACAGTAATACAGATAGGAGGGAAATAGTATGAAGGCACTCAGATTAAGAAAAAACTAGTAAAATAGCTTTAAAAATGAGGTGTCTATCAATTACAAAGAGTGGAATTATGAGAATGTCCCACTAAAATATATATAAAAATATGAATTTATTCATTTGGCGGTGGTTTTTTTTTTTAGGATTTTATTTATTTGAAACAGCGTGAGAGAGAGAGCACAGGGCAGAGGAAGAGGGAGAAGCAGACTCCCCGATGAGGAAGAAGCCCAATGCGGGGCTCAATCCCAGGACCCCAGGATCATGACCCGAGCTGAAGGCACACGCTTAACTGACTGAGCCACCCAGGCGCCCCTCCATTTGGCATTTAACTGCACATATTAGCAACTCCACACCAAATAGGACATAATGATTATAATTTTAAGATGTTGTATATTATTGCATGCCAACCAATATCTCTTTTTCAGCTGGATTGCCATGTGTACTTAATCATCCATTTTTGTGCAATTACTTGAATATTCTATTGCATATACCATATTATTTCATATACACAAACAGCAACTGAAATATTAAAGTGCTGGTAGTAGCAAGACAACTATGAAAGACTGAAATCAAGCAGACTGAGAGACGCAAATCCAGCCTCATTTGGATCAAGAGAATTATGCTACTAGGTTAGTTATTCATTGTGAAGGAAAAGAAGAAAATTTTCTGACCTGTTAAAAATACTTTGTTGAAATTTTTGTTAAAAAGGGAGGTGCACGAACAAAAAAATGTAGAGATTCTTAAAAATTATGAATTGAATGTTGACTTAAAAAATTCTACTAACATAAAATCAGTCTTCAGAAAATGCTGTTTGGGTAGAATGTTAAAAAAACACTCATCAAAAGAAGCCTGGCATTCAATTTTCTCCTAAGTTTTTTAATAAAGTTGACACTGATACTATCAAATTCAACACTACAACCTTATGTTCCATCTCATTATATTACCAATGATAAAACTTTAAAAAACATTAAATATATAGTTAATCAGTATATTACGTATCATATTTAAATAAACTGGGGGAACCTGAATTTATGGTGAGAAATTACTTTTAAAATTGTTCATTATCTACAAATACAGTTTAACCTATATTTTGATATTTTAAATAATTATGTGATATTGAGTTTCCAGTAAAAGATCAGTAAAAGACTGAGAGTGTATTTCTTTTTCTGAAGTCTGTAGAAATGAAGAAAGAAACAACGATCTGAGAAGGACATGCCATTTATAATAAAGCTAAGAAACGGCTATATTCCCACTGAGGAGGAATAACTGTCTGACACAGAGAAATGTGGATCAAACCTAGTTCCTCAACAGGGTATGAAAGTCTCTGAAAAGGAAAAGCTCCTGGAGGCCTAATCAAATATTTATTACTTAGAACCCGGACTGGGGGCTCAGGTTGAGAAACGAGAATCTGAGGTGTTGTTAGAGTCCCATTCACAGCAGATAAAGCTGAAAGAGGAACAGGGTTGTCAACTGCGGCAAAGCAGGCATCTGCATTTTCCCTGACAAATCTGGATAAACTGCCTAGAAGCAGCTAAGGAAAGGGAAGTAGCAACCAAGTTTGGTGCTCCTCAAAAGAGTTAACTAAGCAGAAATAATTAAAGCCCCATGCAAAAAAAAGCTGTGAGCTGGAACCCTTCACAAAGAGCCTCAGTCTTTATCAGCTCTGCTCACCAGGGCTAGAAATGTGCCACTAGGGAAAACCTGGTGAAAGCATTTTTGAAAACACATCTGTTTAGGTGTCTAGGGACACACTTTAACCCATTCTATATCATTTTTGAGCAAACTGCCAACTAGAAGAAGCTATGTGAATGCAACTGTTTCCACTCAGTGAGTTAAAGAAGCAGAAAGGATTCATTCAACATGGGACCCATACATAGGTAATAGCAAAAAAAAAAAAAAAAAAAACCCAAAGAAAAAAATTTCAAATACGTCTTTATATTTTTCAAAAGGAAAAGGAAAAACTCAAAAACGGGATAGAAGAAAAACTAGATAAGAAACAGAAAGTAGTGAACTGGGAAATAAACGATAAGAGAGCCTCCAAAATAAGAGAGAACACAACAGGCTTGAGACTGCTATTTTTAGAAAGGCCTGCTTGCAAGGTCAACCCTTGGCTGGCATCTGGAAACGTGACTGGGAAACAGTTCCCAGCAGTGACTGAAAAACTTCCATAATGATAAGAGTAGATTATTGTTCCTAAATGTTTGTACAAGCAATGTGCTTTGTTCTGAACACCTGTTTTCCTTTTGGGAGCCTGAAATTTTGGTACATGCCGGCCAGAGGGTGCCAACATGACCAGTGCCCAATAAAAAACTTGGCCACTGAGTCTCGAATGAGCTTCCCTCCTAGACAACTGTTTTACTCTCGTCACAATTCGTTGCTAGAGGAATTAAGCATATCCTAGGAACCCTGTGGGGGAGAGGTCTCTTGGAAGCTTGTGCCTGGCTTCCTCCAGACTTTGCCCCATGTACCCTTCCCTTTGCAGATTTTGTTTTTGTGTCCTTTCCTATAATAAACCTTCACCATGAGCACAACTACATGAGTCCTGTGAGTCCTTCTAGTCAATCACCAACACAAGGGCCTACATGCACTGGAAATCCAACCTACAGTCCTAGTGGTTATTTTTTTAAGATTTTATTTATTCATTTGAGAGATAGAGAGAGACAGAGACAGAGAGAGCACATGAGCGCAGAAGCAGGGGGAGGGGCAAAGGGAGAAGGAGAAGCAGACTGCCCACTGAGCAAGGAGTCCGACAGGGGGCTCCCGGCAGGATCCCAGACCTGAGCTGGAGGCAGAGACACTTAACCTACTGAGTCACCCAGGCGCCCCCTAGTGTTCTTATAGAGAATACAGAAAAATAGTCACAGAACTACTGGCAGACTTGTAACTAGAAAGTTACACGGTTTCATTAAAAAGTAAGAGAGAATGGTAATAATCAAGCTATATCCTAGCCCAGTTTCTAAAGTTAAATGATGGAGAATTTGTAGATCTCCAAGCGAAAACTAAGATGCTGTTGGCGGGGGCCTCTGATTTTTTCTTCACAGCAACACCTGATGCCGTAACATTGTGAAAGCAATGTCTACAAGGTGCTAAGGGAAATAACATGGAACCTGAAAGTACTATAATCGGCCAATCTATTGTTTAAATATAAAGGCAATAGGCAATTCACCGGCAAGAAAGCAAATACTTTGGAGATGAGAATACTTAACTTTGGAACGGGAAACAGGTGCTGCAGACCTGATAAATTACTATACTCACCAACCAAGACAGTAATCAAGACAAAGAACTCAGGAATGAACTATTGGGACTAAAAGTAAGCACAGCATCCATTTGAATTGTGCTTCTAGAATAACAATGTTATAAGCCTGTGCAATGCTTAAAGAACTAACACAGTAAATAAAAATTGGCTGGTGGAGGCTTTAGGGGATAAAATTTAAGTGTAAGAATTTCCTCATTTTTCATAGTGGAAAGTCATAAAAATAATAGTGATAATGAGTTTTAAAAACAAAAAAGAATTGACTTGCTCCTTTTAGAAGTGAAAGGTAGGTAGGTGAATCTATAATCCTAGATGATTTTTGAATACTTTCCTGTCATAGCCCATCATTTGTGTTTTATAGTTCACTAACATTCTGAGTGTCTAGATCACTACAAAGAATAGGACGAAAGGGTACTAAATTCAGAAAATAATTAAAGTTAAATCATCTATAAATACTTTAAAAGGGCTAGCATGCCCAGTATTAGCAAGAATGAAAGATTGAGAATTTCTCATATATTGCTAGAAACATTAACTGGTAAAACTTTTTAGAAGGCAGTATGTCTCAAACTAAAATATGCACAGACCAGTGAACCAGTGATTCCTTGTTGTACCAACTTATCCTGTAGACATGCTTATGCAAGTTCACAAAGAAACCTCCTTAGAATATTCACTGTTGGTAATAATGAAAAACAGGAAAAAATTAAATGTCCATCAATAGAGGGATGAAAAAAATATTTAAAAAGTATGCAGATATTAAAAAGAATGAAATAAGGGTGCCTGGGTGGCTCAGTCATTAAGCGTTTGCCTTCGGCTCAGGTCATGATCCCAGGATCCTCGGATTGAGCCCCACATCGGGCTCCCTGTTCCACAGGAAGCCTGCTTCTCCCTCTCCCACTCCCCCTGCTTGTGTTCCCTCTCTCGCTGTGTCTCTCTCTGTCAAATAAATAAAATCTTAAAAAAAAAAATAAAAAAAAAAAAATAATGAAATAGGGGCACCTGGGTGGCTCAGTCGGTTAAGCATCTGCCTTCAGCTCAGGTCATGATCCCAGGGTCCTGGGATTGAGCCCAGAGTCCAACTCCCGGCTCAGGGGGAAGCCTGCTTCTGCCTCTCCCTTTGCCCCTCTGCCCACGCCCCACTCCTGTGCTCTCTCTCAAAATCTTTTAAAAAAATAAAATAAAAAGAATGAAATACATTATATAGAATCAGGGAGAATTATGGACATCTCTCTACCTTGATTGAGGTGGGTCTTGGCTACACAGCTGTACAAATTTGGGGAAACTCAGCAAATGGTACACTTAAATGAGATCTCTCCATTTCACGGTCTACAAATTTCATCTCGGGGTGCCTGGGTCGCTCAGTCATTAAGCGTCTGCCTTCAGCTCAGGTTATGATCCCAGGGTCCTGGGATCGAGCCCTGCAATGGGCTCCCTACTCAGCAGGAAGCCCACTTCTCCCTCTCCCACTCCCCCTGCTTGTGTTCCCTCTGTCTCTGACAAATAAATAAAATCTTTAAAAAAATAAAATTTCATCTTAAGAAACAGAATAAGGAACTCACAGAATCCTTTTGTTTTTAATTGCAAAAGGAATACATGCTTATAGTAAAAATAACACAAATGTTACAAGTGAAAATCTCTTACCCCTTTTCTCCCAATCCAACCTCTTCAGAGTTAACCACTCAAAATTAACCTCTATTAATAGTTAGGTATGTTAAAGCCTTTGGACTTTTTTCTATATATAAGTAAATATACATAAATGTGTAGTTGTTTTTTGTAATTGCAACAAAAAGTGTAATTATCCTATACATGGCAACCTCCTTTTGATACTTAATTGTGACTATCTTCTCTTATTGGTACATATAATTCTCTCCCATTAAAGCCCATATAATATTCCACTGCACAATAAAACCATAATTTACTGAACCACTGCTTTACTACTGACCACTAAATTATTTTCAAGCTTTAACAAAATAAGCGTTTTTCTATTTATTATAATTCTTAGGGGCATAAAAAAATTAAACTGTTATTAGGGATTTAAAAACATTCCTTGGGAATTGAACTCCCATGAAAATATGAAAGCTTTCCCCACCTCCAATTTTCAAACATATGCCTTACAAATATATAAATGAGAACAATGCCTATTCTACTCATAGAATATACATAGTAATTTAACCTAACTGCGAATTAATAAAATTTTACAAACACATCAGCTATGAAAGTGGGAAATATGTTACTTTGTATTTTTTGTGGCAGCTCAAAAACAGATTTAAATTAGCAGTGGAATCTCTTAATACATATAAGTAAACAAATGAAGTTTCTTACTAAGTAGGAGGAAAAACCACCCATCACCACACCAAATGGACCTAAAATGCATTACTTTCAAGGAACCTGGGTCCATTCCTAGTCTTTTGTAATATCTTCCATGATAGAATATGAAGTTGCATTTATGAATTTCTGAACTGTCTATATGAAGTTGCTAATAATACAGAAACTTAGGATTATCACCAAACAGTAAGAAAAAAACCTGTGACAAATTTTTAGAAGAATTTAATTTGAAAATGAAATAGTTACAAACCTAGGTCCAATAACAGGAATAAGTAAGACATCCTGAAGGTCTGGATGTTGAAGAATAGGAACACTTAATCCATTAAACTGCTGTTAAAAATAAACAGAATTATGAAGCCATCAATGTAATTGATAAATTTCAATTTACAGGTCTTTTCATTGTCATTACCTAGCAGAGCATGAAGCTTGGTTTAGGATATTCTCACTTTATTCCACATACTATAAAAAACAAAGATTTTAAAACAACTATGTTTTCCTCTGTATTTTCTTTTTTTTTTTTTTTAAAGATTTTATTTATTTATGTGAGAGAGAGAGAATGAGAGACAGAGAGCATGAGAGGGAGGAG